GACTCTTGAGAAAACAGCAGAGGAAGTGGGGAAGAGGGCTCCAAGCAGAGAAGCAGCGTGGGTAAGGGACCTGAGGCAGAGGGAATGTGCAACTGTGTGGAGTACTTTAAAGACACGGTGTTCCTGGGATGGAGATAATGTGGTGGGTGTGGGGTCATGAGCCAATAAGGAATGAGATAGGAGAGGTAGTGGAGGCCAGGTCCTTTGAGCCGCAAGAATGATTGTCCTTTTCCTCTGATGAGATGGGAAGCTGTCACCACCACCATCATCAGCTCACTGTCATTGTAAATGTTCTTGCTTGTTCTTTAACAAAGACCCAAAAACTAAAAAACAAAAAGCATTGGTTATTACGAAAGTCAAGAGAAGCTTTTTAAGATTATTTTATTACTGGTCCTCATTTACTGCAGGAGGGATAGAATGTCATACAACAATGTGTCGTGCAGCTCAGACGCTGGATTATACAATTTGTTTTAGATGAACTCTTTGATTCAGCTAAGTCTGGTGCCATGAAACTTGCCACTGCTAGCGAAGTTTTCCCAAAGCTTGTATTTCAAGGAGTTCACTTTTCAAAGCTTAAATTTTGAGGAATCTAAGCTTTGTGGGCTCTTCTATTAATTTCCTTTGTTGGACAATTGCTAGAAGAAAGAAAAATAGCTATGGATATATATATATATATGTATATAATTTTTATTTGAAAGGAAGAATTACACAAAGAGAGAAAGAGAGGCAGAGAGAGAGCAAGAGATCTTCCATCTGCTGGTTCACTTCCCAGATGGCCACAATGGCCAGAGTCGAGCTGTTCCAAGACCAGGAGCCAGCAGCTTCTTCTGAGTCCAACACATAGGTGCCCAGGAATTGGTGGCTGCATCATCACCTTTGAAACAATCTCTGTTCTGTTATCATTTTGTACAATCCGGGGCAGACCAGATCTCTATAAATATGTTCTCAGCAGACTTTTGATGACTTAACTTCTTTTTCTTTCAGCAGGGGACAGCTTCTATTCACCCAGTGAAGATGCCAGAATCATAGGAGGCTGTTTCAACCTGCTGGGACTGTGGGCCTAGCTGGTATGTTGATCAGCCAATCTTCTTGTCTTATCTGTAGCACTTTAGCTAGCAGAGGCATAGGAGGGCTGCTCTACACATTAGTTTTTAAGGCAATAGGCACATGATTTAATATTTTATGTTTCCTCATCCATCCAAGGGTTTTGATGACCTTAAGCAACCAGTTATACATGTAACTTTGCCATAATGTGTATTGGGCATACACATATGTTCACCATGGACATATAGAATAACAGTCCAGGGCCCGGCACCGTGACCTAGCACCTAAAGTCCTCACCTTTAACGCACCAGGATCCCATATGGACACTGGTTTTAATCCCGGTAGCTTCACTTCCCATCCAGCTCCCTGCTTGTGGCCTGGGAAAGCAGTCAAGGACGGCCCAAAGCCTTGGGATCCTGCACCCGTGTGAGAGACCTGGAGGAAGTTCTGGCTCTTGGCTTCGGATTGGCTCAGCACTGACCGTTGTGGCTACTTGGGGAGTGAATCATTGGACGGAAGATCTTGCCCTCTCTCTCTCCTCTTCTCTGTATATCCAACTTTGTAGTGAAAATAAAATAAATTAGAAAAAAAACAATAGCCCAGCTTCAGGGTCCCTGCACTTTTCCTGTTTGCCTCTTGTCCACTTCCCTGAGACAGTGGTGTTTTCTAAACCCTCTCGATGGGCTTCCTTTGGGTCTGCCTGAGCGCACTTATGTTAAAGGTTACAAATGGGCAGGGAAGGTGGCAGAGATAACTAGAGTTTCCTCTTTGCTAAGAGGGCTGAATTGTTCCCTTTTATTACTTCAGTACCTCCCTTGGTGGCTTTTTCAGTGTACAATAGCCATTTCTTTGGGTTTTTCTTCATGATCCACAGCCAGAGAATTTCTTAACTGTATTGAATTTTATTTATTTATTTTTTTTAGCATGTGGGGAGCCCACTTTCTTTTCAGATGATCCTGTGAGCATGGCCCCAATAGAAGGTGTATCTGGAGTCAGTGTAGATTATTGAAGTCTTTCCTCATCCTAATTCCAGCACCCTAATCAGGGCTATCATCTCTGTCTTTAGTGTAGATTGTCCCTGAGGTGGTTCTTGATTTTGTTTCTGGAGAAGCCAAGTTTCTTGGTTCTTGGGAGATTCTTAGCACCCATGGTTCCATGTGCAGACCCCACCATAGACCTGGGTCCTAAATAGACTAATCACTATAAGCCTGCTGCAATGTACATACTGTATTTTCACATTAGGTAGTAGTTCACTTCTGACCTCTTCCCAACTTGAGCATACCAGCTCTGTTACTCCAGAGAAGGACGCTAGCTGTTATGTGACAGGATTCAGAGACTGACATGATTTCAGGATTCTGTCTAGACATTCATCAAGGCTTGAGATTGCATCATCCAGTCACCAACAAATGGTACCCTCTTATTTCCAGAACATTTGCCATCTGCTATGGGGCCATATGGGGTTTTCTCCATGGTTAACTTTTCTGCTTCTCTAATCAGTAAGCAGGTAGCTGCAACCACCTGCAGGCAGTGTACCCATCCCAGAACATTTCTGATTGTCCAGAAAATTAAGTCAGCACTTCTGTTTAAAAAAAGATTTATTTTTGGGCCCGGCGCTGTGGCCTAGCAGCTAGTACTCACCTTGAATGCGTCGAGATCCCCTATGGGCGCTGGTTCTAATCCCGGCAGTCTTGCTTCCCATCCAGCTCCTTGCTTGTGGCCTGGGGAAAGCAGTCAAGGATGGCCCAATGCTTTGGGACCCTGCACCCATGTGGGAGACCTGCAACAAGTTCCTGGCTCCTGGCTCCGTATGGGCCCAGCACTGGCTGTTGCGCTCACTTGGGGAGTGAATCATCGGACGGAAGATCTTCCTCTTGGTCTCTCCTCCTCTTTGTATATATGCCTTTCCAATTAAAAAAAAAAAGAGAGAGACTTATTTTTATTGGAAAGTCAGATATACAGAGAGGAGGAGAGACTGAGAGGAAGATCTTCTGTCCATTGATTCACTCTCCAAGTGGCCATGATGGCTAGAGCTGTGCCGATTTGAAGCTGGAAGCCAGGAGCCTCCTCTGGTCTCCAGCGCGTGTACAGGGTCCCAAGGCTTTGGGTCATCCTTGCCTGCTTTCTGAGGCTACAGGCAGGGAGCTTGATGGGAAGTGGGACTGCCGGGATTAAAAGCAGTTCCCATATGGAATCCTGGTGCATGCCAGGCGAGTATTTAGCCACTGAGCCATTGCGCCAGACCCAAGAGGATTTGATAATGGTGTTTCTTTTATTTGTTTATTTTTCAAAAGATTTATTTATTTTTATTACAAAGTCAGATATACAGAGAGAACAGACAGAGACAAGCTCAACTGTTCAATGATTCACTCCCCAAGTGGCCACAATGGCCATAGCTGAGCTGGTCTGAAGTGTAGAGCCTCTTTCATGTCTCCCATGTAGATGCAGGAACCCAAGGCTTTGGGCCGTCCTTGACTGCTTTCCCAAATCACAAGCACGGAGTGGGATGGAAAACGAGGCCACTGGGATTAGAATCCGCACCCACATGGGATCCCAGTGCATTCAAGGCTAGGACTTTAGGCCCTAGGCCATCGTGCTGGCCTGATAATAGTGTTTCAATATAATTAGGTTTGTGGATATTTCATGTGACTTAAATGTTAATTACTCTGATTTTTGTATTATAGTGTATGCTGTATTTAACTATCTCTTTTTCTCCATTAATATGTGTAATGGTTATATTAATGAAAAATAAGTACATTTTAAAAAAGGTAATTTTTATTTGAAAGGCAAAGTTACACATACACACATGGCAGGGAGAAGAGGTAGAGAGAGCTTCCATCTGCTTGTTTACTACACAAATGAATGCAATGGCCACAGTTGAACTGATCCAAAGCCAGGAGTCAGGAGCTTCTTCTAGGTCTCCCACATGGGTTCAGGGACCTGTGAGACAATCTAGCACCTACTGGGATGCCAGAACCACAGGTGAAATTTAGCCTAATAGATAATTCCAGCAGGCACTGGTGCTAGGTTGTGAAATCATTGAGGTTACAATTTCTACTATGTGGAAGATGGTTTGGGAGTGTTTTGGGGTGATGAAGAACAAGGAGTGTGGTTCAGGAGTGCTGGCTAAGTTGTTGCATGGATTGGCTGGGGCTGCTGTGCAGGCTGGCTAGGGTTGTCTCCAGGTTTGGGGTGGGAGTGGGCCAGGCTGAGTGCAGTTGCAGTAGGTAGAGCAACAGGACCATGTTATCAGCCCTTCATGCTAGCACTGCCTCCTTGCCTGTGGTACTTGGGTTCCTGGCAACCACATGGGAGACCCAAATTATATTCTGGGCTCCTGGTTTTGGCCTGGCCCCGTCCCAAATGTTGGGAGAATTTGGAGAGTGAAATAGATTATGGGTGATCTCTGTGGCTCTGTTTCTCTATGCTTCTCTCCCTCTCTCTTTCTTTTTTTTTTTTTTTTAAGATTTATTCATTTGCTTTGGAAAGGTAGATATACAGAGAAGAGAAGAGACAGAGAGGAAGATCATCCATCTGGTGATTCACTCCCCAAGTGAGTGCAATGGCCAGTGCTGCACCGATCCAAAACCAGGAGCCTTTGGGTCTCCCATGTGGGTGCAGGGTCCCAAGGCTGTGGGCCATCCTCAACTGCTTTCCCAGGCCACAAGCAGGGAGCTGGGTGGGAAGCAAGGCTGTCGGGATTAGAACCAGTGCACATATGGAATCCTGGAGCATGCGAGGTGAGGACTTTAGCCACTAGGCCACCACACCAGATCCTCTCTATATCTCTTAAACAAAATTTTAATCAAGAAGAAAAGGAAAAATGTCTATTTTGATTCACCTTAGATTTAGTAATTCTACTTCAAGGTCCATGTTCCCAAGAATTATATAACTGCACAAGTTTGTGTGTTCAGCAATATAGGAACAACCTAAAATTCCAAAAAGAGAGACAGACTTAATCATAGTATGGAGTGTTTTACAAGTGTTCAAAATCATGTTTTCACAGAATAGTCAATGATTTGGAAAATCCTGAAGGTACAAAATGTTAAAAATCCCAAATATAGAACTGTACGTAGAGCAGAATTCCATAATTTCAAAACAAATACATATAGGTACTTATATACATATACCACAAATAGAAAAAATGACTGAAAGGAAACTATGTAAAAAATTGTTGATGTTTATTATTTTCAGTGATTTACTTATTTAACGCTTTCTGTATTTACCAATATTCCCCAAATTTGGTATTGCTTTCACTTTTAGAAAAGTAATAAATAAATGTTAACAGTAGTAATAATATAAAAATAAGATCAAAGATGTCCCAAAAGATGAAAAGCAAAATACTACACGTTTGAATAATTTTAGTTTGTTTTAGAAATGACTGTATCTTCCGGCTAAAGCGTTTTTGTTTCCAGAAGCGGTAGTTGTATTTTTTCCTTGGCTGGATTTGGATGCAGGATCCACGGCAACATACATGATTTGGAAACCTCCTGCAGTCACGGAAGCATCACTCAGAAACTTCAAGGTCATGACATTTCCTGTGAGGAGTGAGGGGAGGGGCATGACAAAGAACAAGGATGTTACTCTTTGTTGAATACGTTGAGTTGGCTTACATTTGGTTTTGGAGTTTGTGGTTGCATTGACAAGGGTGGAGGACTCGCGGATGTTCTCTGTCCCTCTGATAGGCTGCAAAGACAATCCTGTCCACTCTGGTTTAAAAGGTACTCTGGGGCCCGGCGCAGTGGTCTAACGGCTAAAGTCCTCGCTTTGCATGCGCCAGGATCCCATATGGATGTTGATTTGTATCCCTGCTGCTCCACATTCCTTCCAGCTCCCTGCTTGTGGCCTGGGAAAGCAGTAGATGATGGCTCAAAACCTTGGGACCCTGCACCCACATGGGAGAACTGAAAGTGGCTCTGGGCTCCTGGCTTCAGATCAGCTCTGGCCATGATGATCATTTAGGGAATGAACTAGCAGATGAAAGGTCTCTCTGTGTCTCCTCTCTGTGGATCTGACTTTGCAATGAAAAAAAAAAAAAAAAGACACTCCTTGTAGGAGGAACATCCAGAGATTTACAGGAGAATGGTAGTTGTTCATACCAGTAAGGTATGGATAGATTATTTACTTCATGACCCAAAGACAGCGAGCTTTGCATTGGTGAGTCACAATCTGTAATCCTAATTTACATAGAGTATGACAATACATTTTGTATGTGAAAAATCAAAATAGACTAACAATAAAAAGAGAAAGCTTTTGGGACAGCAGTTGTGACCTAAGCTGCAGCTCTCAGCAGCAGGATCCTGTAAGGGAGCTCAGGGTTCAAGGTCTGCCTTCTCAGCTTTGGATCAAGTTTCCGGTTACTGTGCCTTGGGAAGGCTGTGGAGGACAGTCCAAATACTTGGGTCCACATGGAATATTCAGTTGGAGTTCTGGGCCCCTGGTTTTGGCCTGAAACAGTGATATGAGGTGATCTAGTAGATGATGATACCTCTCTTCCACATTCTTTCAGTCTTTCAGAGAGAGATAAGAGAGAGTGCCACAATAGCAGGGACTAGGCTTAGGCTGAAGTCAGAAGCTAGAGAGTCCAACCAGTCTCCCGCATGGACGGCAGCAGCACACACATTGGAGCAATTACCCGCTGCCTTCCCAGGCCCATTAGCAGGTGGGGGGAGTGAAGCAGCCAGGACTTGAACTACCACACCCCTATGGGATACTGGTGTTGCAAGCAAAAGCTTATGCATTGTGCCACAATTCCAGCCCCATGAATACTCATAAAGCTTTCATGCCACGGGTATGAACCCAAGGCACAGAGTTCAAATGGCTGAGGCACATTTGAGCCCGGGCAGGCTAGCTTCAGAGGGCATGCTCTGATTCTCAAACTGAGCTTCTCACTACTTGGCCGATTTATACAGTATGAAAAGCCTTTTCACACTATAAAGAAACCAAGTTAAAGAGCAAGAGATAGGCTTAGTGGAAACAGACCTAATACCTCTGATATTCGAAGAGCTATTAGAAATTAAATTGTGTCAAAACACAGCACTGATTTGGTCACACTTGCTATAAATTTTCTGTTTTAGATTACACAAGAAAAATTTCCAGCTTCAGGCTTCCTTTGAACTCCTGCTGTAAGTTTGTGTTTTAATAGGATTATTCTCATCCTTCAGCTATCTCCTACAGCTCTACAATGGCTTCTCTTAACAGTCTGTTAACACAAAATACCTCCTTAAGACAAGAGTTAAAGTACTAGGCTCTGTAGGATCCCATTCCCAGGAAGTTTGTAGTCAAGTAAATAAACTAATAAGGTTTAAACATTGATCATTCAAGGATAGAACAAGAAGTCCCAGCTCTCGTCATGAACATTGAATAAATTACAATCTGTCGCACTGCAGGACTGAGTTTGGGAGTCATTCAGCAATGGCTAATATAATAGCTGTTTGTATCTGAATTGAAAGATTCTGCAGACATTGCAATCCCATATAACGCTGTTGTTTTTAGCAGCAGAAGTGTTGTGATAACTTGATGACTTAGTGGAAAAACAAAAACTAACAATGCCAACAACTGGTGCTGGTGATAAAAATGAAAAGAAAAAATGAAGGACTCTAAAAAGGTCAGTTTTCGCTAAAAAAAAAAATAGCAGCTTGCAGTAACTGTTAAGTAGTAGTATTTATTATGATAAATTTATGGTCCAACAAAGACACTAATTTTATATATATATATATATATATACCTAAATATATATGTGCAAAAGTCATACAAAATTAGCTTAGGGACTGAGGAGATACAGAAAACATTGTCTATTGTATCTAGCCTTTGAGGCACAATTAACAATGAAAACATTCCCTGTTATCTTTCTATAAAAATATTTGACCAAATGCTTCCCCAGTTTATTTTGTTAGGGCCCTTTTCTTATATAACACTATTTAAAAACATCTCACAGCAGAACGTTCGTCACAAAACTCCCTGGGAATTGCTGTACTAAGATAAAATGAAGTAAGTATAAATAAATTCAACTTTTTTAGAGATAGAGATTTTTCAGACAACCAAAACTTCAGCCATTTCAGTCCCACATTCTGCAGATATCATAAGCCAATTTGCAGATCCTAGAGTGTCTCAGGGGATAACGCCTTAAGCCACCGAGACTATCCAAATCCTACTGACATTTTGGCCACACTTTCAAGTGGGTTGCACAAGGATTGCCCAGCCAGTTCCTAAGAGACAGCCAATGGAAAACAACAACAACAACAAAAAAGAGACAACCAATAGGGAATGTCTTCCCTGCAGGTTCCCTTCTAGACAAGGAGGGATCCGGGAAGGCTTAAAATCTTGGGACCCTTCCCTTCTGAAAACCTTTGGTGTCTCTCTCTCTCTTCAAGAGGTACCCCATCTTCCGGCTCTCCTGGGCGGTGCCTTCCCCTTCCCTCTTCTTCCTACATTCACCTGGTCACTTAGCAAATAAAATGTCCTTGTCTACAACCAACCACTTCATGACTTTTTATTTCTACACTGAGCTGAGGAAAGAACCCACTGAGCTTTATTTGGTAATTGCCACCATCTGCAGTGCCAGCAGCTGTATGGGCACTGATTGGAGTCCAGGCTGTTTGCTTTCTGATCCAGATCCCTGGCAATGGCCTGGCCAAGCAGTGGAAGCTGGTCCACATGCTTGGGCCTCAGCCAGTACAGTAGACCCAGGTAAAAAGCTTCTGGCTTTACGCTGGTACAGCCTTGGCCATTGCAGCCATTTGGGGAGTGAATCTGCAGATGAAAGATCTATCTCTGTCTTTCCCTCTCTCTCTGTGACCTCTTCAAACAAAAATTTAAAATCGTAAAAATAGACTCAGACTGTATTTCCTACAAATAACAAGGGTGTGTACATTTTTTTAATGCAGGAAATTGGCATGTACCAATAACATAAATCTTAAAAGCTTTGTATTTTATAAGCCAATAAGCTACTTTTGATTTTGTTTTTCTTAACTTTAAAAATAAAGTTCTTATTATCTTTAAAAATAAAGATCTTATTATTACCCATAATAATAAGATCTGTCACTTTTAGGAATGCTGCGGAAAAACAAATCAAAGTTTGCTCCTCAGTTCTAGTCTTACCTGTGCTGATAATGTCTCCTGGAAGCTCATTTCCACAGTACCTGAAAGGGAAGTTTTACAAAAGAGAAGTCACACAAATGACTACTATACAATGATTGAACAAGCTCTCAATGGTCACGAAGCTTCTTTGTTTCTCTTGATTGATGGCCTGTTCTTTCATAATTGAAAACTTCGTTGTTTCTTACTTGGATTTTTAAATGAGAAGATGTTTTGTAACTGAAATTGCTATTGTTGAAAGCCTTCTAAATTTAGTAGTTTGTAATTTTATGTAGCTATCCTGTAGCTGATATCCAAAACTCATTCAAAATAGGATTGCAGGTTCCCAAGACAGGAGTTCTATTCTTTCAAAACATGCCTTTTTCTTAATTCTTGCAAACACATTTCACGTCTTTTTCAAGATATTTTAGAAAACTAACTTCCTTGTATGAGGTACCCTATCCTTAATCCCTAGTGGAGTCCAGTAATAAAATGATACCTTCTTTGCAAATGAGTACCTACGTTCTTTCATCACTCTGATGTCAGTGATGGACCTGCATCCTTTGGATGAGTGGACCTAAGTTTTGGTGGTTCTACAACAATGCCTTGGCATAATGTTTTGCACAGATAAAAAGGACCAGCAATTACAGAATTTATATTCACTTTTATGTGGAAGGTAAAAGTTAGCACACATAAAAAACTTAATAACATTTTTGACTGATATATCTCTCACATCTCTTTGTTTTCCTATTGTTTGTTAACACTTGAAGTCCTCATAAACAGCCCAGTGAGATCTTAATAGCTTAAGAGTAATGACAAGGCAGCTATCCTGATTTAATCAGTTCATGTAGCAATGAGCTAAGAAAAACCTTTGGGGAAAAGGACACGGTGTTGGAATAGAGTAAAAATATACAAAGCCTGTCTTAAGGGACCTCAATAAATTTGTGGAAAATGCATAATATGAGATCATGGATTTCAAAATTTTTGTACCAAAATAAACTGATGTTTTCGTTTCATGTCTATAAACTTATTTAACTTTCTCCTACCTTCCTACAAACCCATGGACATCATCATAACTGTCATATACTTCAACATAGTCAGCCAAGCAGCCTGGGTCATCCTCGAGGTCAAACTTCAAAAAGCTCAGGTGAATACGCTGACCATACTTGATTCTGATGTGCCAGTAGCAGACCTGGTTATCATCATACTCATTGGGGTAGCCTGGAGATTTGAAAATTCGCTTTGGGTCTGTAAATACACCACCACACTCCTTTGCTGAAATGCAGAAGGAAAGAAAACAAAGAAAGCTTTAAGAAAAAGTTATTACCATTAAAAGTGACATTCACTTTTTAGTCATCCATTTATTAATTTTGATAAAATATGAAAGAGATGGCCTAATATGAACATACATGGTATGTAAGTATAAAGCTAAAGAAGTATTTCTCATCAATAGTTCCTAAATTTTCTAAAATAAACATGAGCTATTTCTAAATTCTGAAAAAAGCAAACACGAGAAGAACAATACTAATTCAACAAATTGTTCTCAGGTTTACGATTTTGGCTTATTTAAGGTACAAAAGCACAAGTCTTTTGTGTGTACATTTATGTATTTTGACAACTGTATCAATCAGATTTTTTCCCCTGTGGCTGTCACTTCTTTGTTCAGGCACTTGCATACTTAGAATAAAAACCTAGAATGTAGATTGGAAAGGCTGCAGAACTCCAAGTTTGCAGGGACTTCATTGGTTACTCCAGTGCAGTAAAGAGGAACGAGGTTAATCACTTTGGAGTTCCTGCACCTGTGTGGAGTTAACCTTCTGATTCTTGCATTCCAAGATATGGCAGAAATATTCATGCTTGTTTTTCTTCCAAATCACTTATTTTAAGGACAGATGCACAGGCGTTGCTAGTCTTTAGAAAGACAGAACACTCACGATCTATAACATCCTATCTTTGTTGCAGATTTATGTCTTAGTCTCTGTTTTCACAAAGTGAAGAAGCAACCAACAGAGTGGAAAAACATTTTTGCACACTACACAAGTGAGAGGGGATTAATATCCAGGATTTACAAAGAGCTTCAGAAACCCAAGGACAGTAAAAAAAAAAAAAAAAAAAACAAGCAAACAAAAAACAAAACAAAAATAAAAAGACGAAAAAATGGGCAAAGAAAGTGAACAGACATTTTTTCAAAAGAACAGATTCAAATGGCTAACAGATATATGAAGATTCTCAGGTTCCCTAGCCATCAGAGAGATACAAATGAAAACCACGTTGAGGTACCACCTAACTCCAGTGAGATTGGCCAACATTCAGAACTTTACCAACAAAAACTGCTGGTGTGGATGTGGGGAAAAAGAAACCCTCCTTCACTGCTTGTGGGAGTTCAGGATAGCACAACCACTGTGGAAATCAGTATGGAGAATGCTTAGAGAATTGCAAATAAACCTGCCGTATGTTCCAGCTCTCCCTCTCCTAGGAATATACCCAAAGGAAATGAAAACTGCATATGAAAAGGGGATCTGTAATCCTGTATTTGTAGCATCACAATCTACAATAGCAAAGATATGGAAACAATCCTGATGTCCATCCAAGGAGGACTGGTTAAAGAAACTGTGGTACATCTACTCCATGGAATATTACTCAGCCATTAAAAAGAATGAAATTATAACATTTGCAACTAGATGGTCCCAACTAGAGACCATTATGCTCAGTGAAATAAGTCAATCCCCAAAAGACAAATATCACCTGTTCTCTCTAGTATAAGGAAAACATCATGCAAATTGGAATGCATAGTGATGGGGTAATAGAGACTATCATATCCAGATGTGAAGACACAAGGCAACATGCATCTCTACATTGAACTCCCAGTGTAACTGTTGGACATACCTTTAGACAATGGAATGCTGAGCTGACATTGTACTAGCAATGTTGGGGTACACTTAAAATAACAGACTGATGGAATTATAACTCCTTATGAAAGGCTATGGTATTGTAACAGTATGGGGGAAAGCAGCCAGGGGGGTGGGAATTGGGTGGGGGAGAATCCCAGACACTACAAAATTGCACCATAAAATTCAAAATTTTAAATAAAAAATTTAAAAAATTATAAAAAGAAATGCACTATAAGTATTTTTTCATATTTTAAACATGACAAAGACTTTCTGTTTGTACTGTACATAATTTGACATATTCATTAGATACAATCAGCTCTTGTCCAAGGTTAATATCATATAATAAGACATTCTGCAATCATATGATAGGACTTCATTGCAGCTCTCTTACTGTGTAATGGAATTTCTTATACTGTAGATCTAAGTAGGATATCACTCCAGCAGGTTTATAACATATAGGAGGCCTTTCTAATATCCTACAATATTTTATAACAGTGTCCTGAGTGAAGTATCTATAAACGAACAGTCCTTTCTTTCCCTAAAGTACATGAGTAACTCTGCAGTGAGTTTTTTTTCCTCTTTAAGCATTTCCTAATTGAAAGCAACCATGGATGCTCAATGAAACTGTTAAATTTAAAAAAGAGAGCAACCAGGGACAAATATTAATATATCATGTTCAATAATAATTATTGGTATATACAACATGCTACAGTTGATTAATTTGGCAATCTAATGATTTATGTACAAATGAAATAAGGGAAACATTTTGTCTTCTTTTTCACATTCTATCATAGGAATAATATTGGATGGTTAACATTTGGTAGTATCATGTTTTAGCTAAGTCAGTATACTAAATTTATAACCTACATTTTTTTTTTCCTTTATGGATAGGAAGTTCTTGGTACCAAAAAGACCCAAATTCTTTGCTATTTGGTTTTGGGTAAGCAACTCAACTTCTTTACATTCTGCTTTCCTGAATCTGTTTTTCCCCTAATTAAAAAAAAATTACTTATGTTGAAGAGTTATAGAGAAAGAGAAACAGAGAGATCTTCTACCTACTTGTTTACTCTTCAGATGGCAATAACCGCCAGCAGCTGAACCCAGAGCTCTCATCTGAGCATCAGGAGTCCAAACACTTAGACCATCTTCCGCTGCTTCTCCCAGGCCATTACGTGGGAGCTGGATGGGAAGTGGAATAGCAGGGACACTAATTGGCATCCTTAAGGGATACCAATGTCACAGGTGATGGCTTTACCTGCTATTCCACAGTGTCATCCCTTCATTTTCCTGGTCCCTTAATATAGATATAATAATACCTCCTTATCAGGGTGTGACTGTTAAGCGAGAAAGTAAATGAAGGGGTACAACTCATGCCTGACATAGTATAAACACTCTAAAACAGTCTTGATTTATACTTGCCATGCTGAAGTATTTCTGGAAGGAGCAGGCAATTTTCTTAAACAACCTATTAGTAGCATGTATCAATATTTGAAAACACAAAATCATTATTTTTAACAAACCATTTGGGTTGTAGCAATAGGCATCCCATCTTTCACTCCTGTTGAGACGGATCCCATAGTCAATGATACCGACTTTTCCAAATCCACAGTTGGATCCTGGCTTCACAATGGGGTATCCAACTCTGCCCTTGGCCATCCATCCTGCAGCGCAGACATGAAATCCTGCAAGAGGAAGGAGGATTTATGGACATAGCTGCTGAAGTTCCTGGGATGAGCAAAGGTTATATTAACAAAGATGGTCATTCTGACAGGAAGTTCCTTAACCAAATTCCTTTCACTTGAATGTGGGAGAAAAAATTCCCTTAAAAAATAAAAATGTTAGGCACAGTGGCCTAGTGGCTAAATTCCTCGCCTTGAATCTCGCTGGGATCTCATATGGGCACTGGTTCTAATCCTGGCAGCCCCACTTCCCATCCAGCTCCCTGTTTGTGGCCTGGGAAAGCAGTCAAGGACCACCCAAAGCCTTGGGACATTGCACCCATGTGGGAGACCCAGAAGAAGCTCCTGGCTTCAGATTGGCTCAGCTCTAGCCATTGTGGTTACTTGGGGAGTGAACCATCAGACAGAAGATCTTCCTCTCTGCACATATGACTTTGCAATAAAAATAAATAAATCTTTAAAAAAAAGTTTGAGGGCCTGGCACATTGGCCTAGTGACTGACGTCCTCGCCTTGAACACACTGGGATCCCATATGGGCACTGGTTCTAATCCCAGCAGCCCTGCTTCCCATCCGGCTCCCTGTTTATGGCTTGGGAAAGCAGTTGAGGACGGCCCAAAGCCTTGAGTTCCTGTGTCCATGTGAGAGACCTGGATGAAGTTCCAGGGTTCGGATTGGCACAGCTCTGGCCATTGTGGTCACTTGGGGAGTAAATCATTGGATGGAAGATCTTCGTCTCTGTCTCTTCTCCTCTCTGTATATCTGACTTTGTAATTAAAAAAAGAAAATATATCTTACAAAATAAATAAATAAGAAATAAAAAAAGTTTGGGAGTCAGAGCAGTGGCATAATAGTTTAAGCTTCTGCCTGTGGTGTCAGTAAACCGAAATTGGTGCAGATTCAAGTTCTGGCTGTTCCACTTTTGATCCAGCTTCCTGCTAATGTGTCTGGGAAAGTAGTGGAGGATGGCTTCAGTCCTTTCGACTGTGCACCCACATGTCCGTACCCGAAGTGCTGGGTTCCTGGCTCCTGGCTTTGGACTTGCCCAGCTCTGGCCATTGTGGGCATTTGAAGAACAAACCAGCAAATGGAAGATTCTCTTTCTGTCTCTGCTCTCTGTAAATCTGACTTTCCAATAAAAATAAATACATATTAGAGACTTATTCATTGATTCTTATTAGAAAGGCAGATTTTACAGAGAGAGAAAACGGAGAGAAAGATTCTCCATTTGCTGGTTTATTCCCCGAATGACCACAATGGCACCCATATGGGATCCTGGCGCTTGCAGGGGAAGGATTAGCCAGTTGAAGCATTGTGCTGGTCCTATAAACATATAATAATAATAATAATAAAAACTTCAAACCTACAAAGTAGAAATTCTAACTTTTACTAGAAAGTAAATATTTTACATATTTTATTTGCATAAAAGATGCAGTTGGACTAGCAGCCACAATACCAAGGCCATCAAAATCACATCAGTGCAGAGCTTTGTTCTTTTTTTAAGAATAGGTTATCTAGAAATCTAATTTCTGAGAGGGTAATGAATTCTGCAGAACAATAGTTCAAATGTTAGCTTAATTCCTTCAGTGCAAGAAAGAAGGCAGCTGCTCATATTTGTACAAAGAAGCAAGGTTTTCTCAGATCTCATGATGTCAACTTCCTAGTTTCCTTCTCAGTTTTTTTTTATGATTGATTTATTTTTATTTGGAGGGCAAAGTTTTACAAAGAGGGGAGACAGAGATAGAGGTCTTCCATCCACTGGCTCACTCTCCAAGTAGCATTGCTTTCCCAGGCCATAAGCAGGGAGACGGTTTTGAAGTGGAGCAGCCCGGACATGAACTGGTGCCCATATGGGAAACTGGTGCCGTAGACTGAGGATTAGCCTATTGAGCCACTGTGCCAGCTCTGCCCACACCCAAGTTTTCTTACATTTGCTTATCTTCTTTCTCTCCATAGTTTTTGATCCCAAAGTAAAAAGGCATTCTCTTACCTAAAGACAAACAAAAAGAAATGGGAAAAAAATATCCACTAACTTCAATGTTTGTCCAACCTAGTTTGTCCAAGAAAAAAATCGCCAGAGTAGCCTCTTTCATCAGCTGAGGAAACCCATACTCAGAAATCAAGGAAGGTGGACTGTGAAGAGAACTGTGTGGATTTTAATGTACAATTTAATGATGTTAGGATAACAAGGTCTTCACTTTCAACTGGTTATTTTCTTGATTCCCAATGGGTTGTATCCCCCAAAAGGTTGTTCTTTTCAAAAATTATTATGCCAGACGAGGAGCGCAAACCCACAACCCTGACCTTAAGAGTCTCATGCTCTGACAATTGAGCCACACGGGAAAGCTGATCATTTTCTCTACAACCATTTGAGCAGCGCCAGGCTGAGATGACGTACAGCCTTAGAGCACTGTTACAAAAGACTGGAGAGAGAAGGCTATGTAAACGTTATGGGAAGGATGAACTGCTTTTTTTCTCAAGAGGGAAAAAGAAGGAAATTCCGTTGGATCAATTACCAATTTTTCTGGCTGCCTCTAGCTGCTTGTAGGTGGCGAGACGGCCGCCTTCAAATTCACACACCGCCTTGGCTTCTGCATAGGTGAGCTTGTACCTGCCGGAGCGTGCTTCTCTGTGATACACACCTGCTGCCCGTTCTGTGGAATCACAAAAGATCATCCAGATACCATTAACCATGCTTGTGCGCAAGGGAGATTTGCTTGGCCGGAAGATGACATCAGCCATTGTTTCTTGCCAAAGGCTTCTTTGCGTTAGCTGCCTTGGCTAACATTTCATTGTTAGAAAGTTGGGGAAAAATATATGAGTGAAGGGGAATTGTAGGGGAACTTAGGGATTATAGACAAATACTTTAGACAAAATTGTGTTTTGAGAGCAAGACAGTTTTTTTAAATTATTTTTAAAATGAGTTTATGAGAGACATAAATTGCAGTCTCTCTAGGACTGGGTAGGGCAGAAGCTGGAAAAAGAATTCAATTCAGGTTTCCAAATCTCTATGGGAGGTAGAAATGTACTCATATGAGCTATCGCTGCTGATGAGCAGGAAGCTGGAATCAGGAGCCAGCGTGAGCATCAAATACAGGCAGTCTGAAACATCTGAACCTGTTAAATCCACAAAGTCAAATGCCTGCCCAACCTGAAAGCTTTTGATTGACACCAGCTCTATACCATCCTCAAGTGTTACAGTTCTAGTTTAGTTTCTTGTTTTGTTGTTGCTTTTGTTTCTTGTTTGTGTGTGTGTGTTCCTTTTTTGTGTAAAAACTTGATGAACAGTAGGAGGGAGAGGCAACAGAAACAACAAAAAATCATCATCAGTGAGGCTCACAAAGAGAGTGAGAAATAAGCCAAATTATCCACTTGAGGGAAATGACTAGGGGAGTATAAATGAGAAGTTAGTAAGCAGATAAAAAACATGGGCAACAGATGAAGGAATACTGCATTGAGGAAAAGATTCAGATGCAGTTGAGAAGAAATCAAGCACATTTAGCTAACTCGCAGCTCCTAAATTCTCATCTGGTTTGTCATTGCAGATCACTTATTGTTCCCAACATATTTTAAGCAATGACAATCCAGGCATGTGCTGTCTTCCAATAGATCACTGTTTAAGTGGCTTGTTTTGAGTTTGGAGTGTTTTCTACCATAGAAACCTTGTGAAGAGATTCCCAGGACGAGAGTCATCTCTAACAGTTCCACAGATAGTCTGCCAGATTATGGTTATGTCTGTGCACGCTGACCTGTGCAGTCACCCACCATGTAGATGATTTCCAACAATGAGAACAGATATTCACTGGCAGGCAACAAATACGGATTCATTGGTATTTGGAACAGTTCCTTGTCCTTATCCCCAAAGTTGATGCTATCCTAGTTTGGTGGGAAATGGTGTTTAGTATTTTGCCTGTTTTTCCAGATTCCTAGGGATAACTGCTGTTATACTATTACAGAGAAAGTGCTCATCAATTACCCCCATGGTACCCGAGTGGATTTACGACTGCTTATGGACCCAGGAATCCTAGAAACTACAACTCATACACAGTCACGATGTTTTCCTGTTCTGGTGACCTTGAGCATGCAGTGTGAGGTGTTTCGCTAGGTGCCGTGGAATAAGTTCCATCTTGCAGCAGTCTGAACACTAGTGGGCAATAGAAGTATCTTTATCTTGAAAGAGAGGACCAGTTAAGGCTTTTGGTAAAGAAAGGAGATATGTTTCATTTCCTTATGTATGACACTGGTTGTTCATGTCAATGCTAAAATTGTACTATGTTTCCTAAGAATATAGTCTAAAATATCCTTAACTATTTTGGTAGGAATTATTTTAAAGTATGCCAAATATCCTTGGTATTTTACTCCATATCTGGAAAATATATTTTCAGAAAAAGAAGATCATCAGTTTTTAAAAAAACAATTTAAACTTTTCTTCCTAGGAAGTTTTTCAAAACTTTTGGTACTTGCTGCTACTTACCCAGTAATAATATAGCAGCTTAAAAAGCAAAAGCATATACAATTTTCAACTTAATTTATCCAATATTGATATTCCATATTGTTCCCCAAAGAGTTTCAAATTTCCCAGCACCTCCTCATGAATAATTTGAGTACTCAGTGTATATAGTTTACAATTTTAAATAAGGTATTGGTTTTAAGGTATTCCTCATTTTGGCAAGATGAATCTACAAAGGTAGAATAAATCCTAATTTTTGGAAGTTATACCTTTCAGAAGGAATAATGCTTAATGAATTTTCTGAGTCAACAGTCATTTTTAAAACCAGAAAATTTGTTTCACTCATACATTGCTTCCTCCTTTGAGCCAGAGGCAGCAGTAGAATATTGGCCTGGGTTTCCACTGCTGGTTTTACCATGGAAGAGTCGTATAATCCTACATGAATTGCTTTCTCATCTTAGTTGTTCTACCTGTCAAATGGAATAATGATAGATTCTGGACTCTATCAGGCATTTCAGCTCTGTAAATTTCCCTCCCCCTACTTCTTTTCCAGGTTCAATACAAGGGCTCAATCCTTGTGTTTTCAATCCACGTAAATGAACTGAAATCTCCTAAATGTTCCTTGTTTGCATTTTGTCTTAAATGATCATTTAAGAAATCACAGTAGATTAAAGTTAAAATAAACCTCCAGGAGCCCCTGTTCTAATCGTCTCATTTTGCCAGTGCAGAGCTGGATGGTTGCTGCAGCTTCCTGCCTTCTAACCCAACTCGCTTGCCTGCTTAAACAGTTTCTAATATTATATTGACCCAACCAACTGTAAACAATTTGTGCTGGGCTGACTGGTCAACGATTTGTCTCAGATTGAAGCAATTTTCAATTATCCTGAGCCTCCGATTTGCAGCATGCTGTCAGCATTCTGATTTGCTTCCCTCTACCTCTGGGGTAGAACTTTTATTGTCCAGGCCGATGTTTTTGCAATATACAGCATCATTTATAAACAAGAACCCCAAGTTACTTGATTGTTACAGCTTAATGGCATTTCAAAACTTATCTTTACAGTTTTAATTCTGACTAGCTCTAGAACGTTTCTGACAAAAATGGATATATATTCTAAGTTATATTGTGTGTGATGAAGATAAACAGAGATTTTTCTCAGGCTGGTACTAAATTCTAAAATCCATCTTGGTCAAATGGATTACACTGAAACTAGTCCACTGTCTCAGGCTGGAGGAGAAAGAAAGGAGCTAAGGCATTACAAATCAGGCTGTTTAATGAAATCCTCATGGTTGCAGTTATTGCTAGAGAGAAACGTGCCAAAGGCAAAAATCTTCTACAACCATGTGCTGCTTAGCAAGCACAAAACCAAGATAGAGGTTAATTTTCATTTCTCTGTGTTTCATGCAAGAACCTCAATTTTTCCCTAAGCAAGTCAAAATCTTTTTCACTATTAAACACAATAATGAATGTGAAACCATACCAACCTGTGAGATTTGAAGTATGATAAAGAGTATGCTAGGGCTATTTGGGATTTTCTGTTTTTCCCTTTTTTGGTCTATGGTTTATCTGCACCATTTGACCTGTGTCATCCCTTACATTTAACAGGACAAAAGGCACCCTCCTTCTCTAGCGAAAGGGCAGGAAAGTCTAAGGATAGTATGAACAAAAGGAATCAAAGTGGTGAAAATGTACTCAGAAGTATAATCCTTTTCTTTTGTACTGCAAGCTGATTTGGTCAAAGTATTGGAAAGATGCTTCTGAAATGCAGCTATACGTTGCAGTTCAGAGTACATGGAGCAATGACTGCTATTTTATGGCCATCCCAACATAAGCTGAACTCGACCTGCAAATGCAATTGAAATAAAGACTAACAGACTGATATGTTGGGTTTTCTAATGAAATGATAAGTATGCTACCACATCTGTTCTGGCAAATGTTAAATAATATGTACATATTGAATATAATTGCTAATTTCTATTTTTTACAGAACATTTCCCTTTACAAAAAGCAGCTTATCATCTTAGAAGGCAAAAACTTAAAAAAAAACTGTATGTGCATTCCAATGTCTATCTTTTCTAAGCATTTGCTTTGAAAACATCTGCTTTGAGCACAAGCGACAGTTGACCGCTTTCACTCGCTCCTCTGCGATTTCAAAGAATTGACATTCCTAGCAAGAAGCTCACAAAGGAAGTTTCTTACCAAGCCATATGGAGTTGTGAAAAGTTCCATTCCTGTATCCCCATCCTTGAGCTTCTTCCCACACCAAGACAAACAAGTAAGTTAAGATGATCATTTCTTTGCTCTCAGAGGCGCTGCAGCCTGTCAGGGGCTGCTCACGATAACTTCTCAGAGCAGCGGCCTGAACTGGAACTGCAACATCTGGTTTCCACATCTTTTAAATAGTTCTTTTTTTTTTTTTTCTACTGTGAGGTCAGCAAGTACTCTCCAATGGCATTTTTCCGCTGTAGAGTTACACAATTAGCTCAGTGTCTGAAGCAAATCCTCTGACTCATTTGCATTGGCAACTCAAACTAAGGTTATAGAATGACCCACAGAGTTTATAAAAGTGACTTACTCAGAAAGGAGTTCATTTATTCTGTCAGTCACCAACATTTCAGGGAGGAAGTGTGTATAACTTGGTGCAGATTCAGCAGTGGTTAAAAGAAAGCCAGGGTTCAGAAGAAATTTAAAGAGAAATCCTGTATGACTTATCAGTAGTGAGTCTGTTTTGGGGTGTGGGCTTTGGGATTGATTTTTAACTTGACTCCATTGGATGGCATTTTCCCACAGCAGCGCCTCTACGGAAAATAAAAAGTGCGTATAATTTGACAAATTCTATGTGTTTTCTAGTGCGGTAGGACTCTGTTTGCATTTGTTTTAGCATGGTATCTGCAGTAATCATTGTTTTGTGGGTTATCTGGTAAATAAATACATATGCTTCCAGAAAAATAGTCTAATTTCAGTGTCTTAGGACCATTGAGCAGCTTTGGGGAATGTCCTATTATTATACAAGTTTCTCTGCGACACACAACCTTGAAATGTTGGGGGGGAAAGTGGGTAACAGTAATAAAAGTAAAAGACACATGACTCTAGTTTCCCTTGACCACTCTTTGATGGAGTTGATTAAAACACCAGGTAGTAATTATGATAGTTATCATGGTTTCAAATATCCAATATGTTCCTGTCCTTTTGTGTTTAGTGCTTGGGTAACATATCTGATAATATTCTTATTGTGCCACTGAGGCTAATGGCAATTTTGGTTGTTGATTGATAACCATTTCTTAGAAGTTTTTTCTTCTTAGTGGCCATTGTTTGCTACTTAGCTTCTCTGCTCTTAATGTCTAATTGCTTCCTGCTTGCACCTGTTATAGTCACATCACGTCTCTTATGGTTCCTTAGTTCCTCCAATGATATGAAGTGCTTTGATAAGACATGCTAGGAAGTCAGTCTTCAGTCATGCAGTCATCTCTGCGTTGGATCTCACAGTCACATGGTTTCATCTCTTCCATGGGATGTAGGCTGGGGATGCAGAATGTATTGGACACTTGTTGAGATATGAGTTAAGTTAATAGGGTTCAGAACCCTCGTTTTGAGCCCATGACAAATGAGAGTTGAGGGCACTAGATCCGGGTTTATCAATAGGGTGCATTTCAAGCTAGTGCAAAAGAGGATGCAGTCCAGACTGTGTGGGTGTGACCATGAGAAGGGAGACATGATTAGGGAGAACGGGATGAAAAGATAGCTGAAAACAGCAAGCCATGATGTTATTTTGGAAAATGGAATTAAGCAAGTATTTTAAGTTTGTGGTTTAGGAAGCAAATATAACTTTACTTGCTTACTCTTCCAGCAAAACTTTCACAGCCTTTGCCTTTCTTTGCCTGGTCATGAACCCTGTTGCCGCCCTTTCTGCACCTCTCTCAAGTACCTAATTTCCCCTTAGTTCTTATTAATCAAGATCCTTCTCAGGAAAGGACTGCAATTAATCTTCACTTTGACCAAGTAACTAACAACAGATACCCTTCTGTGCTCATTTGCATTTTAATGAAGCTCCAAGTATGGCCAGGTGTGAATGTTCAACTTGTTTTAACATGAAAATTTAATGAGTTACCTTGATGGATTAACCCAATCTGGAGTGGAGAATTCCTCTTCCCATCTCAGCTCTCATGTAGAATATAACTATCTTCCCTTGTCTCTGTACAGGGTTTGCCCTGCTTATCCTTTATAGCAAACCGAAAATAATGATGACGTGCGTGGGCTGTGGTTCTGAGGGGGTGTTCAACTCCAGTGTGGAAGAAAAGAGGAATTGTGGTTTTACATGGAAAAGATGCAGCAGGTAGTGCAGGGAAGGACAAGATGGAGCAGAAAAGAAAGGAACGGCATAGGGAGAGCTACTGGAGGGCTTATCGCAGAAGCTGCTAAACAAGAACACCCCTGCCACGCTGTGGGAGATCGCCCCTGGATCTCTGCCTTCTTAGCCTACGTGGGAGGCCTAAGGCATGTGTTCCCGGGGGGACTCCCCTGGCAATGATTTTGGCTAACTGAGAGGTCAGCCTGGTTTGTTCACTGGGCATGCAGCGAGAGTGATGGGCTGTGCGCCAGCCTTTCTTCTCTGCCCTTGGACGAGCTGCGCTAGGATTTCTAGCACTTAGATAAATAACTCTAAGAAGTTATATGCGACCCTCCTTCTGTTCACCAGCTGTGTGTGATGAATATGCCCAGAGGTGTAGCTTTCAGCCCAGGTGCTAGCCTTTGTGCTGGTTTGAGGCACAGCGTTTACTCCTGTGTGTAGAATGTGATCTGTGATTGGAGAGTCCAGACAGACAGGCATGTCTAATAACCAATCGCAATGATTACTGGGTGGAGTACTGTTGGGACCACCCTTCTACCGTCCCTCCTCCCTTTCCCTATATAAGATTCTCCATAATAAAGAAACATCCCTCACCAGTTTGTTTCCGGTGGTTCTTGCGACCATAGAACACTGTCACCTCACCTCTGAATGGTCTTGGGGCCTGCTGGTCAGGAAAGAACTGAAACCACGTTCTTGGGAAGCACCACCAAGGATGTGTCTCTTGAGGAGCTGGGAGAGCAAATACTAATAAAAATTCCTTTCCTGGACTCAAAAGATTTTACCTGTCAAATGTTCCACTTTTATAGACAAACAACTGGTAGGACTGTTTTTTTTAATTAATTAATTAATTAATTATTATTATTTTTTACATAAGCAGCTTCTCTCTTTTCTATAATACCCATACGTCTAAGCAGCTACTAGATACCTAAAATACATGTTGGAGAGTATTCCACATGTGAATGAATGAGTTAGGGTAGTTGTGTACTAAGCAAACTTAAGACCTCCAAAGCTAACAAAGTGGTTTATTGATGTTGCTATTGTGCAAGCTTTAACATAAAGTAAGCCTCTATAGGCAAATTCTAAATGTCTGTTATTTAACAGATACGTTTAAAACCCATTTAAATCTCTCAAACTACAAGGAGAAGAGAGGCGTCGGGTGGCTGTAGACTGAGGGAGCCAAGAGAGAAAGAAGGAAGGGAAGCAAGTTAGAACACATCACATGTATGGTTATACTTCAAATAGTGAGACAATGTTGCAGTTGCTTGGAATCCAGTATGAAAAAAATACAGCTTAGGAGCCAGCACTGTGGCATGTTGGGTAAAGCCACACCCTGTGATGACAGCATCCTAAATGGGCACCAGCTTGAGTCTGAGTTTCTCCATTTGTATCCAGCTTCCTGCTAATGTGCCTAGGAAAGCATTGGGAAACAGCCCAAGTACTTGGTTCCCTGCATCTATACCTGGCAGACCGACCTGGCTTTGGACCTGCCCAGGTCCAGCAGTTGCAGCCATTTGGGAAGTGAGCCAGTGGATGGAAGATATCTGTCTGTAATTCTGTCTGTTAAATAAATAAATAAATAAATAAATAAATAAATAAATAAATAAATAAATCTTTTTTTTAAAAAAAAATCCCAGAATACAGGAACTGGGGCTGGTGTGGTAGCACGCCCTATGGATTTGGCATCACATATGGCCACCAGTTGGTGTCCTGGTTGCTCCACTTTTGATCCAGCTCTCTGCTTATGGCCTGGGAAAGCAGCAGAGTATGGCCGAAGTCCTTAGGTCCCTGCACCCACATGGGATAGCCAGAAGAAATCCCTGCTTTCTGGCTTTTGATTGGCTCAGCTCTAGCCATGTGGCAATTTGAGGAGTGAAACAGTGGGGGGAAAAACTCTCTATCTCTCCTCTCTGTAAAATCTTCCTTCCCAATAAGAATGAATAAATCTTTAAAGACTATTACAGCATAAATTATGTAGTTTATTGACTATATTTTTATAATCTTGGAAAGAAACTAAAACAAGATGGGGAGAAAGAAAGGTGGAGCTCAGCGCATTACAAAATACGTCAGTAGGGGATATACTCAACATTGCCGATAAGGACACAAAACAACAATACAGGCATACCCCACCCATTGCGTGTGGAATAGGGTGGGAATAGAGGACATAAAAGAAATGAAATTCATTCCTTATGTGTATGATTCAAGATGATTACAGAGCAATTTTGATACATGGCATGGAACCAAGCACACTTACATTTGAAACCAAATTTAAAATACGCTCACTTAAAATCTAGCCTTTTTTTTTTCCAAATTAAAAAAAAATTGTTATTGATGTTTACATTGTTGATCAGGGTAGAAAGGATCGAGGATCAGGGAGTAGTGGGTGAGACCCTTGTTTACACATTTTCTTCTTCCTGTATATGAGGGAGAGGAGGATACAAGAGGAGAAACCACACCCAGCTTCCCAACTGCCACATTACCCCAGGGATTGGAGAACTGTCACCAGATGTCATCCCAAGTTCCCCATTTTAGAGCATTTTCTGAGGGTTCTGTTCATGTGTTTTCAGTAATTCTGAGATGCTGTTGATATCGCTGCTCCACAGATGAGGAAATCTTTCTAAGTCTATTGGCTGTCATAGTCTGCTTCTGAATCTCCATTGGCCCAGAAATTTGCTGTCAAGTTTCACTGGGATTGTTGATCAATTTGTTCTGCCCTCTATCTTCAGCAAATCAGTGGGTGCTGTGGCCTAGTCCTGCCCTGCCCAACACACATTTTGCCCTCCTGTACCATGGGGGAGCAATAGCCCAGTCAGAGCAACCCCCAGTAATCCCCACTGGACTGGCCCTCAGCTCCGGTTCCTGTGCCTGTCAGCATGTACAGTTAACTGGGCCAGTCTGTCCCAATTCTCATTGATATCTCATACACATCATTGGACATTGAAGCCTAACTCAACCCAACCAACTCCACCCTCCAGCATGCACTCATGCTAGCAGGTGCCACTGCCTGTCCAGGTAGGCCT